TTTTGGTAAAAGTGATATTTTCGACTTCTTGTTTAAAACCGCAAGTGCAATTGCTTTGATATTACATATATAGGTACTACATGTGGACCTCTCTCAGATTTGTTCATTTTGTAATGATATCTTTAATTCTCTAATTTTGGTGAATATTTTTGTCATTTTTGGTAAAAAGTGATATTTTCGACTTCTTGTTAAAAACCGCAAGTCCAATTGCTTTGATACTACATATATAGGTACTGCATGTGGACCTCTCTCAGATTTGTTCATTTCGTGATGATATCTTCAATTCCCTAATTTTGGTGAATATTTTTGTCATTTTTGGTAAAAAGTGATATTTTCGACTTCTTGTTAAAAACCGCAAGTCCGATTGCTTTGATATTACATATAGGTACTACATGTGGACCTCTCTCAGATTTGTTCATTTCGTGATGATATCTTCAATTCTCTAATTTTGGTGAATATTTTTGTAATTTTTGGTAAAAAGTGATATTTTCGACTTCTTCTTAAAAACCAAAAGTTCAATTGCTTTGATATTACATATATAGATACTACATGTAGACCTTTCTCAGATTTGTTCATTTCGTGATGATATCTTCAATTCTCTAATTTTGGTGAATATTTTTGTCATTTTTGGTAGAAAGTGATATTTTCGACTTCTTGTTAAAAACTGTAAGTCCGATTGCTTTGATACTATACATATTGTTCATTTTCTAATGATGTCTTCAGTTCTTTAATTGAAATGTGCATTGCTAACAGCGGAGCTACTGTAAAATGACTAATTTTCACTGGGTTTAAATTTCACTGATTTACCATTTCAGACATATTCAGTGGGTTTTAAATTCACGGTTTCGTCATTTAGATAATGTGTTCTATGCTAAATTTTACATATTCACTGGGTTTTAATTTAGCGCATTTTCCAGTCAGCGAAATAAGCAAATTAAAACCCAGCGAATAATTAACCCTTTTACAGTAATATATAAAATGCGAATTACCGGTAACAAAATTATGGCATGCATCCATCTTTTCACTTACCCTGAGTCTAGATTTGATACTTTTGAATGTGTATGTTCTCATGGCCAATCCTGTAATCTGGTATGTTTTGGATGTGTCATACGAACCAGGTTCTGGGGCTTCTATTTCCACCACAACACCGTTTTCGCAACTAACAAGTAAGGTGTTCTTATCCTGGAAATAAATGGACATTTACAATTACATACACACACGTATGGATACAAATTTAGAATTATCTTGTATTTTTACAGCTTATATCGAACACCAACAATAATCAATTCTGCTGTGTCCTCCATTGGTTAGCTTTATAAACAAGCAGCCTGTCGGCTGAGATGCCTCCGCTGTTAGCAATGCACATTTCAATTAAAGAACTGAAGATATCATTAGAAAATGAACAATATGTACAGTATCAAAGCAATCGGACTTGCTGTTTTCAACAAGAATTTGAAAATATCACTTTTCACCAAAAATGACAAAAAACATTCACCTAAATTGAAGAATTGAAGATATCATCATGAAATGAACAAATCTGGGAGAGGCCCACATGTAGTACCTATATGTACGGTATAATATCAAAGCAATTGGACTTGCGCTTTTTAAAAGAAGTTGAAAATATCACTTTTTACCACAAAATACAAAAATATTCACTAAAATTGGAGAATTAAAGATATCATCAAAAAATTAACAAATCTGAGAGAGGTCTACATGTAGTATCTATATATGTAATATAAAAGCAATCAGAATTGTGGTTTTTAAGAAGAAGTCGAAAATATCACTTTTTACCAAAAATGACAAAATATTCACCAACAAGTTATTGTCAATGACATGTCCCCGTTCCGTTCATATTTGAGTGACATATACATTCAAAGCAGATCATGACCAAAATCTCAGACCACTTTCAATAAAAACCAGTAACAATTGTTTGTGCATTAAATTGTGCCTATGCTTCGCTTGTGACCACGACGTAAAACTAATTATGTAATGGTTACACATGTACAAAATAGTCCCTAAATACTTCGATATAAATTCACAAGTTATCGAATGTCACTCAACGCTTTGAAGTCGCTACAGTGCAATGACCTTTGTTTGTCTGTTTTTATGAGCAATTTCATGCAAAACATGGGATCTTACATTGAATGAAAAAATCCTGAGCACTTTGAATGTCTTCTAGGCGTACTACACCACAGTATCACAGCATATACTTGCTGTATAATCATGAATATTAAACAGCTATGAACTTGACCTGTCTATGAAAACTCTACATTTCAAGTTTTGTTCACTAAAGAAAACTAGATCAGAGCTTTTAACATGTCACCTAAACCGGAAAAGTTGCATTGACAGGCAGTGTGTTAAAGCACCATACAAAAATTAACATTTGCATTTACACACATATATTATATACATCACATGGGTTCCACTTATCTTGGTTACAACAACCATGATGCTTTGAGACTCCACACTGCTAACATTAATCACTGTGAAATGCATCAGTTCATTGACCTAAAACTGACTACTAGTCCCAAAACTGGATCACCTTCAATGTTTAACAAACAAATTCACAACTTACAAAATGTCCTGGTGACCACGTCATATACGATACAGGCCCGTCAATTTCAACGAAACCAACTGGATCATAACGATCTCCAACGAAGAAGAAGAAAACAGTATTGTCATCACCCTGAAATGAATAATAGCAAATTTTAATTGATGCATATTCATGATTCATACTGCTTTTATGCATATATAAGAATTTATAACTCAGTATATGTTTTTATACATATTTTGTTCATAAATATTTATTTTATTTTACAGAATCACAAATTTTGTATTTAGAGCAAGATTTTTTCTGACAATTCACTATATCAGTGTACCATGTTCAGTTGTATTATTGGTGTATGAAGAAATAAGCATAAGTCATTGTGT